AGCAAAGCTAGCAATTTATATCAAAAATCCAAATAATCGCGAAATCCCACATTTTCGATAATTGTATTGGCATCAAGGTCATTTCGATAGTTATCAGTACGGTGATCGCATTTCAGAATACTTGCAAAGAATGGCTGTGTAAATCTCTTCAACCCTGAGCTGTATATCTTCAGCTAACAGCTACCACTTGTCAAGGGCAAGCCCTTACTGGTATTTTCAATAAAAATCTTTGCGAGATAAGAAGACAACTTTTCAGACATGGTCAGAGACGGACTGTGAACAAAGCATACGTATTGGGAAATCTCCGGTATCTGCAATGTCGCTAATGGCAATGGCCGATTTTGAATTACGACGCCTGGGCAATACCGAACTATGCAATGTACGAGGCGAATTCTTGAAGCATTTGAGAAAAACTTGACTCACCCTCAAATTTCCCATACGAGTAGAACGGAACTGAAATTGTATACAGTGACTTGAATAAACCAGTACTATAAAAGAGATGCTGCACCACCCACAAAAATATAAATTCAAATTTAAATATTTTATAGTTATGAGAAAGGTTTCAACTAAAAAGTAGAAAGCAAAAATTTTCGCCTATGTGCAAGTTGCAAAAACGCATTCTGCGACGACCCTGTCTGTGTTTGTTTGTGTGTGCGCCTGGTATTTCAACTCGGCAGCCAAGCAAGCTCCGGCGCCAAAATCTCGCCAGTTGGTTTCCCGATCAAGTACTACCCCAGGACCGCGGTACCAACTCTCACGCACGTCGGAAAAATCGCTAACTCAGGGACCAGACAAGCTAGAAAGCTGAAATTTTGAGGTTACATTCCCCGTCCACATATAACTCAAAGATTTCAAATTCAGCTCCCAATTGTGCGTGGTTCCCAGGTACAGCTCCATGAGGGTTCCTGCCGCAAAAACCGCTAGCTTGGGAACCAGGAAAGCTGGGAATTTACGAAATTCAGTCTCCAGACATGCGTAGTTCGCATGTACGGCCCTTTGGAATTTTTTAGCGAGAAAATGGCTAATCCAAGGTCCAGGAAAACTAGGGGCCCAAAATGTTAAGGGGATATTTCCCGCCCATATACAGCTTAAAATAATTATTAAATTCAGCCACCAGGCAAGCATGGTTCTCACGTCCGGCTCCGTGAAAATTTTTGGCGAGGAGAATTGCTAACTCGGGAAAGAGGAAAGCTGGGAGGCTGATGTTTTTCTAGTCTACGTACAGCTTGAAATCATCAAATCCAGCCCCCGGGCATGCATGACCCCACGTATGGCCCTGTAAAATTTTTTTGGGGGGAAAGTGCTAATTCGGGAACCAGAAAAGCTGAGAAGCTGAGATTTTAGAAAAATATTCCCCATACAAATACAACTTAAAAGTTTCAAGTTCAGCCTCAAGGTGCATGTAGTTCTCGTGTACGCACACTTTGGCGGGAAAAATCTTTGATTGAACAGATGGATCACTTTCAAAAGCGACCGCCAAACGGAAATTGTTTACTTCCGTTTATGCAAGATTTTTGATGATTTACGGTATTGAACGCGCAAGAAAGGGGTGAAGGAAGAACCACTCATGCAGTTAGCCTAATTACTTTAAGTTTGATGCAAAAACGCATGATCGCACAGGCTCACCTGGTGCGTTCCAGGCTGGGTTTTTGTGCTCAGTTTGCGCATGTTGCAGCGCTTATAAACTACGTCAACAGAAGGCAGTTTTATCTGTTTATAATGGGTTGCCACTTACTGATATGTGATTCCCGAGAAGTGCCAGTGATATACACAACTTGCCATGTTTATTACTTCCGCTCCCCTTATACCAGCTATCATTTTATCCCCTCGCAAATTATCAACACCTAGATGCTACAGTTGGCTTATTGGCAATTCAGATGATAAACTTTTCATGGTTCGAAACTACATCAACCTGGTGGTCAGCATGCCGATGACCACGGTGATGGCTCTTATTTTACCAAAATACTGGATATGGCGCTTCTCCCCACCATTTGTGTGATTCTCCCGTGTGCCACATCGCTGCTCAGGCAATCTGATAACCAAAAATGTTTATTTTAGCATGTGTAACAATGCAACAAATTAAAATCTTTTCCAAACGCTTAGTTTTTATTCTTCTGCATCGCTGGCTGCACCCTCGCCACCGGTGCCTTTCTTTGCATTGCGTCGCTTCACACGTCCCGGCCGACCACCACCAAATGGCGATTTCAGTGAAAAATCGATGTGCTTCTGCGAATCCAAACGAACGATGAACGAAGGCACATTCACTATTTGACGTCGCACGCTGCAAAACATCAAATTAACTTTCTTCGTGCAAGACTCATTGTCTTTCCTTTTCTCTTGAACCTCCACCCCCCTCCCTAAGGCCTCTTTCCCTAGAACTCACAGGGCAACTCGGCTCGGCTCGGCTGCGCAATACATGTGCTCATTTTTGAGTCCGCGTTCTAGCTACGAATGTCGTGAAATCGGGTTTTTTGTTTAGGTGAATTTCTAGGTGTTGTGTTCAGGACTGACAAGTTCTCACAAGCGTCAAGTTTCAGACTGAGCAAGAAAATCCACAAAGCCTCCCCCCTCCTTTAAATTACTTGTTTCCAGTCCCTATTTCTAAGTGGGGTATCAGATTTTCTGCAGTCATTAACCTCGATGGATCATCCAATGACAGTCACATAACAGTTTGTACGGGAGTTCAAGTGTCTACGAGAGAAAGATACTTGAATCCCCGTACAAAAAGATGTGGGTTTTAGCAGAAAAGGAAATTCACAAACCACGGTAAATGAGAAGAGGGGAAAAGTCAAAAAAATACCAGGTGTACCAAGAAAAAAAAAATAAATCAACAAAAACTCACCGTATATGCTTTTGCCTGATGAGAACACGAGCATGGTGGATGGATTTGGCTAGGCCGAGTTTGAAAACTTGTGTCTGCAGGCGACGTTCCAAGAAATCCTCCACTCGCAGGCCCAAAACGTAATCGAGTTTCATGCGATCTTCGCTCAGCACACCAATTCGTACCAGACGACGCAGAAGTGCGTTACCTTCGAACAATCGTTTTGGATCCTAAAAAAAAAGTGCACAACGATTTTCAAAAAAAAAAAACGTGTCAAAAACGAGCTGTGCACGAATGCGGGAAACAGTTTCGTGTGACTGAAGCTACTAGAAACAGGGAGGGGGAGCGGAGCGGGATGGAGGGAGGGAAGGGGGAAACGAGGAGAGGGGAAAGGGAAGGAGGCGAGCTCAGAACTAAGCAGAACAGAGAGGCTATTAGCTGGAATATCAAAAACACGAAAAAGCAAGGACGACCTTCATATCGAAAAAAGTGCCTAATATCTTTTTTACCTTATTATATTTACCTCCTACTTCCAATTTAATAAGATTCACCGTATTTAAGACTGACTCCGACTTCTGCACAGCCCAGTTAGAGTCACCCAGCACCGGTTCAGCCCCTAATTTTCCTAATTCCATCCACCCAAAGGGCCCAAACGGCCCGTGGGGTCTTTTACTTAATTACTGGCAAAACGCAGAAGTGGCAAGTAAAACTGCTCCCATGCTGAAGGCCCCCAAAGGGTTAGATTTCAATCGGAAGGTAAACAATCGTTTCGATAGTAAATTAATACTGGCGCCACGCTTCGGTGGGGCCAAAACTGCCATCAGCTTGCTTGTAAGCAACTTTTAGGAGAATCATGCCATCCGATTGCTACTATTGCCACGTACTATTTATTTAGGCTGCTCCAGAATAACCCGAAGTTAAAAGTTAAAACTCCTTGCCTATTACACTTTATGAAAGGCTGAAGCACTCGAGTGACAGAAAAGAGTAAAAGCAACTAGTCGCTGGCAAGCCCGTCGGTAGCACAGGCGAATTCAGAGCAGTCTCCCGGGGGAAAGAGGAGACAGGCAATTTTTCTCCCCGCCCCGTTCACCACCACACCAGGA